AGCCCATTCCTCCCAGAGACACATACAAACCATGAGCCCACCTACCCATGTGTGGAGAAAGACATCCATTCCCTGGGCCTGGGCCTGTGGGAGCCCTTTTACCGGCCGGGTTCACTACACATAATGCAGTAGGGGGAAAACGACTTTACCTTGAATCTGGGCTTCCCCACTTACTAACTGGCCATGTTAATGTCCTTATACCTCACTCAACTTTTGAATGTTATTGAAAATGTTCCAAGGTTGCCAGTGACCTCCACATTGTCAAATTCAAGCCTATGTCCTTGGCTGAAATGCTTCATATTTTCAAAGACAGCGTTATATTTTACAGGGATCTGGTGCCGTAGTTTACAGGGAGTTGTGCTGCTGCTTCTTCTTTTTTTTTTAGAATTCTTTCATTTTTAAATTATTATTAATGTTAATGAAAATTTACAGAGACTTTGGATTTCCATTAATTCATTGTTGCACTTTTCTCCCTACCCACCACTCGCCCATAGTACACTCTTTGAAAAGTAAAAGAAAAATTCTTTCATTTTTTTATAATCCCTCCCCCCAGGTCCACTCCACTATGCAGGCTTCGTTCTGGACTCCTGTCATGACAATAATACCTAATCACATATCCCTTTTAAACCGTTTTCTCCCTCATCTGTTTCAATGCAATATACATTATTTATCCCATCTTTCTCGTCTTCCCCCAACCCTGATGTCAGTACTGTTTTACAACAGTGGCACTATGTAGTATTTGTCCTTTAGTTACTGAGATATTTCACTTGGCATAATGTCCTTCAGGGTCACCCATTCTGAATACTATTGCATGAGTTCCTTGTTTTTCAATGCAGCATAATATTCCATTGTGTGACTATACCAGAGCTTCTCTATCCATTCGTTTGTTGATGGGCACTTAGGTTGTTTTCAACTCCTTGCTATTGTGAACAAAGACGCAATAAACTTGGTTGTGCATGGGAGTTATGCTTCTAACCCAACGAGGATTATGAACCCACCAGCTTCTCTGAGGGGGAAAAGACGGGCCTTAGACTATGGAATTTACAGCCTTGAAAACCCACTAGAGGGTTAGTTATAGGTTCCAACTCAATGGCAATGAATTTCTTTTCTTTCCTTTCCTTTCCTCTCCTCCTCTTCTTTTTTTTTTAAATGAGTTTCTTAACCACTACCAATCCATCCCATGCCCAGTCACTGCCATCAAGTTAGAACACGGACTCATAATTGGTCCTCAGTGGGTTTTCAGAGGCTGTAAATCACAAGGGAGTAGAGTGCTCAACTTTCTTCCTCAGAGCAGCTGGTGGATTTGAACTGTTTGCCTTTGAGTTGGCATGGCAAAACTCCTTACCTATTAGGCCACCAGAGCTCCCTGCCAAGCCCTCTAGCCCCCATACCTTCTTTCCAGAAAAACCATCACTTCCTGAAATCATCTTATTTATTTGCTCATTACTTGTTATTTTTTAGTTCCCCCATACCAGGTAATCTCAAGGGAGAAGGTTCTTTCTGTTTCATGTACTACATACTGCAAAGTTAAAACAGTGACTGACACAGGGAAGCTACTTAAAGATGAATTCCAGTAAAATAAGAGTGGAAAAAACCCCAAACTAACACAACACCAAACAGGAGGAAGGCTTAGTATCTTGGAAGCAGTGTCTCTGAGGAGGGCAAGAAAGGTAAGTCTCAAGGCAATAGCTGCCCAGCAATTAGTTTAGTTAGATGGGGCAAGGGTTGAGAAGAATTTTTACCAGGTAGAAAACGATGACTGTATACCACAGAGAGTAACACTGAGATGCTGCATAATCTTGAGGATTGGAAGATAGATCACACTGTGGTCAATAAGATAGAGGTGAAAAAAAGAAAGTCAATTAAAAACTCTAAGAAAACTGAAAAATTATTTTTAAGAAAGTTTTGGACCTGATAAGAAATAATTTGCTATGTGGTGCATTAAAATACAGGTATTCCCCCATCTTTCATGTGTTTGAGCTACAATGAATCACACATAGGTATGTCAGGTTCTGTCTTTCTGGTGCGTCTTGACTTTGGTGGTGTGATTACATATAATGTCTCAGAGTGTAATTCGGTGATGTTATTACTCTTAAACAATCATTCAAAGACATTCAATTTCATGACTTAGTGTTCAAAACACTGTGGTAGAATCAGGTACGGCATGGTCTACCAGAAAGGTTTCTATTGATGCGGGAGTCGTAACAGATAGAAAGTTGGGCAATGGTCAACTCTAATGAAATACAATTGAACTGCATCTATGCTTACCAACTGTTCAGACCTGACTTCATCAGTCCCACACTGACGTTAACTGCTCTGTAGAGCAGGTCTACAATGTGACCTGGTTCAGGGCTTCACACTATAAGAAGCCAGTTGTTAATCTGAAGCCAAGTTGTTCAGGTTGTGCTAACTGCATTCCCTGCACTGCTTATATCTTCAAAATATGCCTAGGAAAAGAAGCCATGCCACTGAATGTTCCAATCCAACAAAGAAGGCAAGGAAGACTCTAGACACAGATCAAAAGATGAAGATCATCAAGTCCGAGGCAAGGGGAAGAACGTTGGTGAAACAGCATGTGAGGGAGAGCTGTCTCATTGGATCATTTCAACAATCATTAAGGAGTAAAGCGTAGTGTTTCAGAAACAGTTAAAGAAAGGTGTGACTGGGATAAAATGGACAGTTTTAATGAAGAAGCAGCAAGAGATCAATCCACGTGATGGAGACACTGTTGATGATTTGGTTAAAAGACTGAATCCTAGAGAGGATTCCTGTGAGTTTACTGATGATTCATGGAAAGCACACAGCCGTCTGAAAACCTGAAGGAACAGCCAGGCGACCACCCTGATGCTTCAGTGCCAGTGAGGGTTGGCGGTTTCAGCGCTTTCAACTCAGACATCACCTCCGTAACATGCATTTAATTAGGGAAACAGGAAGTGCCAATGAGGAAGCTGCTGCAAATGGGTAACACGTGATGATGAATACCTGAAGAGCACATTTCCCACACACATGGCACAGGCTTGTTTGGGGAAAGGGATGCAGCATGGACCAGTCTTTACAAAGAGGTGGAGTCCATCCTGGTTCACACTGAAAGACGGAACCATGATGCGATGCAGCTTAGAGGAGCTGCTGAATTTCAGCTAAAACTTTTTCTTGAATACTATTTTGAAAAGCCCTGAACATTCAAAAAACATGCACAAAAATGAGTTGCCAAGGGAGCTCTGGCAGCCTAGTGGCAAGAAGCTGTGCTGCAATTTGGAAGGTGCATGGTTTGAATCCACCAGATGCTTCACGGGAGAAGGAGGGGCAATCTCCTCCTGCACCACTCAGATCCGATTCAACCATACACAACAAGGGGGTGGGAGGTGGGGGAAATGAGCTGCCAGTCCACTACAGGAGTAACTCCAAGGCCCGGGTGAAGGTTGTGTTATTTGAGGACAGTTTTTAGATGGTTTCATCTCAGAAGAGAGCACCTATTGCCTTGAAAAGAATGTTTTTTATCCTGCTGCTATTTCAGAATGACTCAGTTCATCCTCTTGACACAGGTGATCTAACTCAAGATGTGAAAACAGCACATCTACCTCCCAATATGACAGCTGTGACTCAGTTTATGGATCAAGGTGCTAGGGCCACCTTCAAGACAAACTACCTACAGATCACATTTGCCCAGGCAATAGTGATAGCAGATGGAGATGGAGTAACATTATGTGATTTCTGAAATGAATATAATATCCTTCATGCATCTGGAACACTGCTTCTTCCTGGGAAGGTTCTGGGAAAGTGCATGCAGGGAAAATTGCTGAGTTACGTGAACGCACTCCAAGCATTTGAGCAGAACAAATACAATGAGCAAAATTGGTGGAAAAATCATCCATATAGCAAGGACGCTGACTTTAAAACTTGCTATCACGGGTGTGGACTAGCTCACAGCTCACAAAGAACTGACTGATCAGGACTTTATGGATTTTGAATGAGGAAGAGCAAGGAGAAACTGTCAGAAAATGTGTACAGTGAAAGGGAATCACTCCAGCTCTTTCTAATCTAAATCAGAAGTCTCAGTTGCCTGAAAACAGGGACCCAAGCATGGGTCACTTTGCTAAAGCTGACAGGTGGTTTCAGGAGTCAGTGAGATATTGCTGCAAAATACACGAAGGAAAAGAGCCAGGCAGAAGGCTCATTAATTTCCTGACTAGAAATGCCATCTCCACTCCCAGGGGTAATCCAGATGATCCAGAACTTTCTGTAGGTGGAGCTACAACTGAAATTGACAACATGTCAACATTATCCGACTTCTTCATTATTGGGGTCAATTTTTTTTTATGATCTGTGTATTTCTATGCATGTATGTATGCATTACAATAAATCTGTAAATTCAAAATTAAAATTAGAACAAAAATAAGTTATCTATTTTATGTCAGCCAGATTGGAACCCTTCCTTAAACCGGGACCACCTGTAATCAGAGACTAATACAAGGAGAAAACTTCTTTTATTTTGCTGCAAAGATCACTCTCCTTTGAACGGGCAGGGATCAATACAAAGGACAGAGAGGGCAATGTTGCAGTCTACTCAGCCCTGAGAAGAACAGTATTTCTCTAATGATAAGTCTTCGTATTTAGTGTTGCCAGGCAAGAGTTTAAGGGTTTTACATCTAATAATATTTCTCTCTTTGTAATTCTTTAAGATACCTATTATCATTGTCCCTATTTTTTAGATGAGGAAGATGAGATACTAAGTGAGTTTTCAGAGGTCAGTTTCCTAGAAGATAACGCAGAAGTCCAGTCCCCGGAGTTGATCCTAAAAGCCAGGTCACCAACTGTCAGATCTTGGCCCTTTTTGCCTGCTGAGAAACCAGCACGTGTGCATGTGTGTACACACACACACACACAGAGCACGTGTGCATGTGTGTACACACACACACACACACACACACACACAGAGTTTTGGGAGTCAGGGTGCAAAGCCACAGGACAGCAGAGCAGTGCAGGCTGCCAGCAGAGCTTACCTTCCTACAGTCTCTACAGAACACTGATGAGCTGCCCAGGAGGCCCAGCACCTCCCCGCAGAGCAGACACTGGGAGAGGCCATTCCCCATCACGTTGTGCCTCATGGTCTCCAGCCTTTCCACCAGCTTCCTGCAATGCAGGACAAGGGTTATAGAGAATGGACTTCCTGTCGCCAAACCAACCACTGCTCAGGCACGCCAGCACAAGGCTGACCCCTCCGCAGAAACAATGCTCCCCGGCTCACCCTTTCGCTGGCTAACTCTTAATCACTCATTCATATGCCCTATTCACTGAGAATCTACATGTGCCAGAAACTGTTCAGGGAGCTGGAGATACCATAGCAAATAAAACAGAGACAGACATGGTTCCTGCTCTACAGTACTTATGTTCTGCAGAGGGAGAATGTCCATAAATAAATAAACAAGTGAAATTATTTCAGCTAGAGAGAAACACTGTGAAATACAAATAAATGAAGGAGGAGGAGAGAAGGCTGAAAGAGGGAGAAGCATGTGAGATAGTGCTCAGGGAGGTTCTTTCTAACGTGTGAATTGAGAGCTGGTGGGAAAAGCATCCCAGGCAGAAGGAACAGTAAGTGTGAAGGACAAGAGGGAGACCCATGTGAAACAGGGTTGGAGGGAGAAGAGTTTGTAATCACAGAATGAAGTCGGGTTTTTGTTTTTTCTAAAATCAGTGTGAATCTAGGTTGGAGAGTTTTGAGCAGGGGAGTGATTTGATCTAAGGCCCATTTTGCACATCTAATTCACATTGACTTCTGTGGAAGGAGTTACTACAAGGAGGCCAGGAGGGGGTTGTGGCCCAGGTCCAGGGCAGGGGGCTGAGGGCAGGGAAGGCCTGCATCTTAGAGGAGGCACTGACAGGCTTAGGGTGGGGAGCAGTATGAGGAAGAAAGCAGCATGGGATGACCTGGAGGTTCTTGGATTGAGGGGCTGTGCTGATAGAGAAGCTACAGGGGGAAAAAAAAGGAAGAGTCCTCTCTAGACCTTGGATATTGGGTCTCCAGGAACCTCCTTGAATCCCACTAAATCTGGGATCAGTGTCCCTCCCGGGGGTCCTCCATGACAGACGTCACAGCCCCAGTACAGTCACAACACAACTGATGGCCACTTCTAGTTTGTTGTTCATTGTATCCTCAGGGCCCAGATGACACTCAGTGAAACTTGATGGAAAAAAGGACAAAGGATGAGCACTTTGACGATGTTGTTGCCTACCATCAAGTCAGAACCAACACATAACTGAGCCTCCAGAGGGTTTTCAGAGGCAGTTAATTGTACAAGAGGAGATTACCTATCTTTCTCCCCTGAAACAATTGAAGGACTCAAACAGCATAACCTTGCGTTGGCAGCCCAATTCCTTAACACTAAGCCAGCAGAGCTCCTGATGAGTACACTATTGTTGTTATGTGCCATCGACTAGGAACTGACTCCTAGTTGACCCTCTGGGAGGTTTTCAGAAACAATAAATAGCACAGGAGGAAACTGCCCTCCTTCTCCTGTGGAGCAGCTGGTAGATTTGAACCATGTGACTTTGGGATCGTAGTGCTACTTCTTATCACTAGGACCACCAGAGGTCCCTTATGAATATACTAACTTCTCTGTGAGCTATAGAGAGCTCTGTTGGCCTAGTGGATAGAAAGCCATGCTATCAAGCCAAAGGTGGGTAATTTTAATCTGTGGCCCTCAGGCTTGGTTTTAATTGTTTTTGGTCAAACATTCCTCTAAGTGGTATATTACTGGTCTGTCAATTGGCTGTACAAAGGTAACTCATGGTTGCTGCGATGCTAAACACTGTGACACTGATGTGACAAATGTGATAATGGTTACCCATGGTGGACAGTGTTTGGTGGAGCTCCCCAATTAAAAGAAGCTTGGAAGCAGGAGTGGCATCCACTTCCGAAATAGCTTGCCTCTGGAAACTCTATGAACTTAGAGAAACAATGAAAGGTATGCAAGTGTTCAGGTCTTTCGTTCATAGGGTCGCTATGAGTCATCTACAACTCGACAGCACTTAACAACAATTGTCATAACTATAAGTCGGGGGTGCTATTTTTCCATTTTAAAAAGAAAATGACAGCAATGTGCCAGGACAAGATCCACCACCTGCAGGGCTGTCTGGCCCAGGACCACACTCTCATGTCCTCAGAGCGATTCCACTCACCTCCTCTGTGCCACCAGGTGCCACTGTGGGAGCTGAGGGATGGCAGACTGGCCAGTGAGGTCAATATTCTCCCCACACACCTCCCACCAAATAGTTTGTCTAGGGGTGACCACTCCTCACCTAGGAACCCAGCTTTAGCTCAGCCATGACCTGCTCTTTCTTAGGGACCCTCTGTCAGTAAGAGCTTTCACCTCATGCTTCCTAAGTTATGTGAAAATACAGGACCCACTTCCTTCATCTCAGCTGATTGACCCAAGGCATTGCTTTCTGAGCAATTCCCACACCACTCCCAGACCCACGTTCACAAGTGGGGTCAGACAATGGGAAGAGTCCACTGAGGTGGCATAGAGAAGGCAGAGACAGCAGCCAGATGGATGAGGAGCCAGCAAATTTATCTCATGGCACAAGGAGCCCACTATTCATACTACCCCCATCTTTTAACAAGGTGGGAGCCAGTCATCTCTGTGTGGGCATTTGCTGCCTGAAGAGGGAATAACAGGGCCTTTGGGCATCATCTGTGAAAGGGTAACCCTGCAGTCATTAATTTAATAAAGGCCAATAAAACTAGTACATATGGTATAAACACTTGTAATTAAGCAACAATACTAAGCTTGTCGTCTGAGGAGCACACGGCGAACTGCTAGAGACAGTCATGATCTTTGCAATGATGCCACCATCCGATTGACATTTCTTAAAATTGGTCATTTCTACAATGTCTGGTTGGTTTGTTTTTGTAATGATTGTGTATTTCACAGGAAAAAGATAAATGGAAGAAGAAAGCGGCCAGAATAAAATTAATTCTGTCCAATGTTTTTCCATTTGTGCTTTTCCCATTTTCTAGAAAATATAGATTGTTTTTGTATGTGAAGAAAAAGGGTCACAAAAGAATGTTTAAAGATTCACTGAGGTCTTAAAAGTGTGAAATTGGCCTTTCAAGACCCAACAAGTGATCTCTCTTAGTCTGGAACAGCAGAGGAAGAGGAAGCCCAGGAATCAAGAGGAGGAAATGGAGTGCAGGTCTAATTGCCTCCCTGAGTTACTACCTCCTTTACCATGGACAGGAAGTGAGTGAATGGGCTACCATCACAGAATGTTTTGATCAAAGACTTTACATGTAGATCCTGGTCAAAGGGGGAGGGGAATGTGAAACAGAATTTCAACACACAAGCCAGTATGAGGACAGTATGACAAACCAACAGAAATGGGACGTTCATCTTATATAGAATATGTCCATGCAGTGGGTTAGTTGGGGTGTCTAGCTCCAGAGGTGTTTAGGCAGAGAAGCTGGGAGGGGTTAGAACTGGTAAACATCTGAGTCACGACAGTGGTGTAAAGTCAGCACTGGAATGCAGAGACCAAACTCCTGGGCTCCGGGTTTTGCACTAACACCCTTGCTTTCCTCTCACACCTCATCTCACCCCTGCACAATGGTGCGGCCCTTACCCAATTCTCTGCTGCTCCATGATGTCGAGCCTCTCGGCCCTCTGGATGACCTGCAGGATGGTCTCCACCTCCGTTGGGTTGAGGCACTGGCTCCTCCTTTGCTTCTCAGTCTGGTAGGTGTGTACGGACCAGCCTGTCTGCAGCCTTGGGACAGAACAATGCAGACAGCATTGAGGCATCCCCACCTTTCACCCTCCCATCCAGCACACCCAAAGACCCTGGAGAGGAGTCAGGATGGTTCTAAAGCCCTGGCTCTAGGGACTGGGGCCAAGGGTGCAGAGAACAGACACAGGACAGATGCCAGGTTCCAAGTGCCTCCTCTGCCATTTATCAGCTCCAGGCCTTGGCAAAGAGGGCAGCACCATCTTAACACCTTGGGAGAGGAGTCAGGAATACACTGACTATATGAATGGAGGAGGCTAGCTCTACAGAGCATTAGGTTTTAAGGTTGAGGGCTGGAAGATGATCAAGAAAACAACGAACCTCCAGTCCATGTTATATGAGAGAGATGGACCATTGTTCCTCAAATTCCTCAAAAAGTTAAACACAGAACAACTGCATGATTCAGCAGTTCCACTCCTAAGAATACGCCCATTAGACTGGAAAACAGGGACCCAAAGGGACTTGGACAGCACTGTTCACTGACATTATTCACACAGACAAGAAAATGGGTGAACAAAATGTGGGCTATATGTACAAAGGAACATTATTCACTGATTAAAAAGAGCAAAGTCCTGACATTTACTGCAGTGTAAATGAACCTTTACATTGAACTATTATGCTGAGCCAGACATGAAAGGGTTGATATTATATGATCCCACTTGCATGAGGTGCCTAGAATTGGCAAATTCAGAGACAGAAAGGAAAAGAGAGGCTACTGGTTGACTGACACCCGGGATGCTCCAATGTGTTTACTATTGTGAGTGGTGCTGCAGTGGACACTGGGGCACATGAATCAGTGTGTGTCCCTGCTTTCAATTCTTGCGAGTGTACACCTTGGTTTGGAATTGAGCCTGTTGTTTTTTGAGACATCTCTCAGACATGGCCTTCACCACAAGGCTCTTCCTAGATCTCCTCCAAGACAAGTTAGGAGTCCATGCTTAGATTTTGCCTAAGGCCTGGGTCTATCTCCATCACTGGGCTTAAACATTAGCATGTGGCATTTGGACCCTCCTTTGCCCCCTCCAGAATATGAGTCTCTAGAGGACAGTCTCTGCCCACCTCTCCACCTTCTTTCTCCCAGACGCCCTGCTCTTCGCTCACTCCCTCCCTCTCTGCTTTCAAGTCACACTAGCCTCCTTTCAGGCCCTCTACACGCCACAATCCCTTCACCCCAGGGCCTTTGCACATGCTTTCCCTTCTAATTTCCACCTAACACATACCCTGCTTCTCAGTCTCAATATAAACACCTCACACCCAGAGAAGCCTTCCCAAACCCCTAGCCAAAGTGAGCAGCCCTCCAACCATGTCTGTCATCACTCTGAGGGCACAAACACATGTGTAATTATTGTTCACCGAATGCTCATTTCTCCTCATCCACTCCTTAAGACAAGGGATCATGTTAGTTTTGTTTGCTGCAGCGCAGCTGGTGTCTGGCACATAGTAGGGGATTATATAGTGTTTGATGGAGGTTTAGAGAGAATCCTGATCTGGTGGGCGGGGGGGGGGGGAAGATGGTTCCTTCAAGATTCCCAGAGGGCCCCTTGGGGGACAGTTTTTGGCTTCATAGCCTTAAGTCCTTGAGCCCCTCGGGAGGAAGGCTTTGGCCTCTAGTGCCAGTCACAGATAGGACAGAGCAAAGTCATGTCTAGTGAATGACGAGCTACATGTCCAGCTGACAGACCCGCCTCCAGCATCCCAAGTCCCACACAGTGTCTTCCACGCCCAGAACTGTATCTCTTTCCTTTGGGAGATTTTGCCAGGCAGAATAAGGTGATAAACTCTTGGGGGAGGGGAGGAGGGAGATAAAAGCATTTGCTGTTCTGAAAGGTGCTACAACAGCTCTGGGCTGCTGCTGAGAGTGAGAAGAGGTCAGGGAGAAGTGAAGGGGACACCGGAGGGGGTGCCAGCGGAGGTGGGTGGAGCTGGGTGCCGCTCTCTCCAGCAGTAATATCCGCCAGGGAGGGCAAGCCACCTCACCAGCTGCCATCAGAGGAGAGAGGCAGAGGGAAGGACTTCAGCCCTGCTCTCTCCCCTTGCAGGGACTAAATGGGGGAGGCTGAAGGGATTTGCTTGAGAAGCCGTTCAGACGAGGGGGACAAATGAACTGTTGTGCGAAGATTCTTGCAAATCGCACATGACTCCACTCCTCTGGGGCGTTTCGGATTAATTTTCTCTCCCTCTTTGATGTTTCAGCTCTGTCCCCCTGCAGGCTCATAATAGTATAATTGCAAATTTCTTAAACTTGGTCCCACTTGGGAAACGCTGGCTCCCGTAATTGGCATGGTCTGACAGCTGAAGGGGCACTGGTGGATTTGTCAGATGCCAGGGACTCCAGAGACCCCTAGAGGGCGGGGGAGGGACCCGAAGGCAGAGAGGCCACAGATGGACAGTAAGTGGGGATGGCTCTGCCCAGGTGAAGCTGAGGGGTTCCCCAAGCTGGAGGGAAACGGGAAGACTAGAACCCTGAAAGGGGCAAATGAGAAGTCAGAAACTAAAGAGACACTGACACGAGACCTGCTGTGGCTCACGTGAGATGTTCCAGCTGCAGGGGCAGCTCTGCCTTCACGCCACAAACTTCCCAAGGGGCTCACAGACTCAAGGCTCCATGGCAAGGGTCTGAGGCTGAGAGCAAAGAAGGTGGCCACTAAGACGACTGGTTCCTGGCAGTTGGATGTGATCGAATGCACGGGTGTGAGAGTCTGATGTGCTGGGCTGGGGGTCACAGGTGAGGTGACTCAGTACAAGGAGCTCAGCCTCACTGTCCTCATCTGCATGATGGGGTTATTCCATCTGCTGGTGAATCGGGTGAATGGCTGGGAGTGCCCAGCTTGGAGGCTGGCACGGGCGTACAGCAGACATAGCTCTCCAAATTTCTCTACTCTCTCTGGGTCTCTGGCAATGAGTTTTGCCAAAGCAAGGTGGGAAGCCGGACTGGAGGAAGTGGAGGCCCAGCGGGGCCCTGGAGGACTCACTTTGCTCGTAAGGCGAGCTGGCGGTCATTGGGGCAAACCCACTGGTCATTCCCGCTGCTGAAGATGGTGTCGGCCATGCCACCGGCTGCCCAGCTGAGGACCAAGGGTCACATCTGTGATGAGAAGGGAAAAGAAAACAAGAGTGTCACTGAGGGCCGCAGATGGAGACATGGTCCCTCTGAACTCAGAAGCTGACATTACCAGCTAATTCCAGATCCCTGACGTTTGCAAACTTGTGCCACACGTCACCCTGCCTGAAACCTGAAAACCTACTCAGAGCCCCTCTTTCTAGGAGAGGTGATTAACCAGATCTTGGATAAATAAGACCAGCAGGACATCAGAGGCTTAGAAGCAGAAAGGAAGGAAGAGCCACACCCTTGCCACTGTGAGCAGAGCTGGCAGCCCTGCACTTGACCCCTCATCCTCCAAGCACAGCCCCAGCTATACTTGGCATTTCTCTTTTGGGGAGGGGTCTGGACAAGCCCCTTTATTGTTGCTAAACTGGAGCAAACTTGAGCAGTGGCCCAAAGCATGTGGGTGACCGAAGCTGGCAGCCTTCCTCAGCTCTGAAAACAAGGCCTCCATGGGCTCTATTCCTAAAAGTTTGCCGGTGACCAATCACAGGGCTCTCCAAAGCAGAGCACGGATGGAGGGAGCCAGCTGCAGTGCAGCTCCATGGGAACCATCTGTAGTGACTGCATCGGGAACGGCACCTTCCAGAATCCTGCAGGGCGGCACCTCTGCCGCAGGACTTGATGATATGCACTGTTGAGATCAGATAGTTGGCTCTGTCCTTGCCACCAAGGAGACAACCAACTCCTCGATTACGGAGGGATGTGTGTTTGAGGAAGAGATATGTGAGGAGAGAGAGAGATGAATCTGAGAGATGAATTGTTCTGCTCTAAAGCAAGGATCAAGGGCGGCATTAAGTTGTGTACACCTCCTGTACTAATCCCATCCAGACCAGTGATTCTCCATCCATTAAAAAAAAAATAATAAAATTTTTTTGTCATTGTTGTTTTCTTTTATTATTATTATTATTATTCATTTCAATGAAAATTTACTTTGGATTTCCACTCATTCTCTGTTGCACTTTTCTCCCCTCCCAACCCTTCCCCCAGTACACTACCCTCTTGGAAAAGTAAAAGAAAAATTCTTTCATTTTTTTACAATTCCTCCCCCCAGGTCCACTCCACTATGCAGCCTTTGCTCTGGACTCCTGTCATGACAAAAATACCTAATCACATATCCCTTTTAAACAGTTTTCTCCCTTATCTGTTTCAATGCAATACACATTACTGAGCCCATCTTTCTCAGTCTTCCCCCAACCCCAAGGTCAGTCCTGTTTTACAACAGTGGCACCATGTAGTATTTGTCCTTTTGTAACTGAGATACTTCATTCAGCATAATGTCCTCCAGTGCCACCCATTTTGAATAATATTGCATGAGTTCCTTGTTTTTCAATGCAGCATAGTATTCCATTGTGTGAATATACCACAGGCACTCTATCCATTCGTTTGTTGATGGGCACTTAAGTTGTTTCCAACTCCTTGCTATTGTGAACAAAGCCACAATAAACATGGGTGTGCATATATCTGCTTCCGTGGCAGATATGGTCTCTCTGGTGGAATTGCTGGGTCAAATGGTATCTCTATTTGTAACTTTTTGAGAAAGCGCCATACCACCTTTGACAGCGGTTGTACCATATTACACTTCCACCAACAGTGAATAAGATTCTCCACAACGTCGCCAGCATTTGTTGCTTGCTGTTCTCTTAAATTTTGTTATTCTGACTGGGGTGAGATGATATCTCGTAGTTATTTTACATCCAGGGCCCTCTTACACCTTTAAAAATTATTGAAGTTGGAAAACAGCTGACACTTCCTCAAAATGCTAAACATTAAATTACCATAGGACCCTGCAGTTTCATTCCCAGGTATACACCCAAGAGAAATGAAAATGCATGTACGCAAAGAAACTTGCACTTGAATGTTCACAGCCGCATTATTCATAATGCAGGAGAGTTTAAAATCAGAGGCACTCACTGTGCGTAAATAGAGCGCTCTGGACACACAGCCTGAACCTCATTTTAAAGTCTTGACATGAGACTAGAATCCATATTGGATTTCCAAACAGTAGTTCCTTTAACCTTGCTGCCGGCCTAACCATACAACCTAAAGAAGACAGTGAGACCTGTAAGGTACAGGGTGTCGTAATCTGTTTCTGAAAGGTCTTTTCTATTACAATCAAACAGATGCAAGATGCCATCGCTTATGCCTGAACAGTCTCGATATGCAGCATTATCAATGAATTTTTAAAATGAACTCCTGGAAAGAGACAAAGATGGAGGGGGCAGTTTTACTAATAACAGTAACTTATTGCTGCCAAGTTGGAGCCAGCCAACTGACATCCAACAGATTTTCAGAGGCAGTAAATCACAAGGGAGGAGACTGCCTATCTGTGTCCTGTGAAACAGCTGGTAGAGCCTGTGCGGCTGCCTTGGTTGGCTGGGCAGCTCTATCTGCTAAGCCACCAGGGCTCCCCAATTTTATTAATGTTGTTGTGTTGTACCATCAAGTTAGAACCGATTCCTAGCTGACCCTCTGGTGGGTTTTCTGTGGCGGTAAATCGCATGGGATGAGATTGCCCATCTTTAATTTATGGAACTAACAGCTTCAAACCACAAGCCTGCAGGTTAGCCGTGTGGGTCCTCACCACTCACATTGTCATCCTGGCACAACCCTGTAATAAACAGAGTTACATGACCACTTATGTAATCCAAGGTCTTTGTTATTCACCTACACGATTGACGTAGGCCAAATTCTTGCTTCTGAGTATCCCACCTTTGACTCCTCTGATGGTCTTTCAGCCAATTACGAATTGTGTAATCTTTGGTTACTGCTCCAACAGTACAATATCCCTTTTCCTGTCTAGCAGAGTGGCTATTTTCGCTCTGTGACAATGACCCTGTCACAGGCTGACAATCTCTACCCCTCAATAAACCCTTTTTAAAAAAAATGAGGCAGATTCTGTGATGTTGCCCAACAGCTGTGACAATCAAAAGGTGGAGACAACCCAAATGCCTATCAACTGGTGAGTGGAGAGAAAAAATAAGTATTCATGGAGTGTGGTATTATTTGTCTATTAAAAAGGGATGAAATACTGATACATGGCACCCCATGGATGAGTTTTGAAAATATTATGTTATGTGAAAGAGTCACATATTGTACGATTCAATTTATATAAAGTATTCAGAGTAGGCAAATCTATAGAAATTGAAAGCAGATTAGTGGCGACTTAAGGAAAGATAAAAGACTGTGTATGGGTATCTTTTTAAAGTGAAATGCTAAAAAAATTAGATAGCAAGGACAGTTTACAATCCTGAATATACTATAAACACGGGATTGGCACACTTTTAAAAAGGTGAATTATATGGTATATAAATTGTATCTCAATGAAGCTCATACAAAATGAGAACTCCAAAGAATTTTTGTTTTATGGAGGCTCTCTCAACTGGTATTTGTTGTTCTGATGTACTGTCAAGGGAACTCTGGTGGCCTAGTGGTAAGAATTTGTACTATAATCCCAAAGGCACATGGTTCAAATCCACCAGACTCCCCATGAAAGGATGAGCAATCTCCCGTGAGGTTTACTGCCTCTGTAGACCCACTGGAGGGTCAGCTGTGGTTTGATTCAAATTCAACAGCAAAAAACAACAGCCTGTACCTTTGGGTTGGAACTGCCTCAGAGCTGACCTTCCACCTTTCTTCTGCAAAGTAGCTGATGGATTCAAACTGCGTGCCTTTGGGTTGGCAGTGCAACTCCTTTTCACTAACTCACTGTTGTTGTTGTTATGTGCCGTCGAGTTGCTTGCGACTCATAGTGACCCTATGTACAACAGCCCTAAACTCTGCTCCGTCCTGTACCAATCACACTGTCTCTGACACTCCCATCTCGATTACCCCAGTCACTGAATCAATCCACCTCACAGGCCTTCCCCTCCTGCGCTGTCCCTCTACCCTCCCAAGCATGATGTCCCTCCCCAAGGACTGGTACCTCCTTACAACATGTCCAAAGTATGTTAGACGGAGCCTCAGAATCCTTGCCTCCAAGGAGCTGCCTGGTTTAACCCTTTCCAAGATGAATCTGTTTGTTTTCCTAGCAGTCCATGGTACCCTCAATACTCTTCCCCAGCACCACAGTTCAAAGGCATCAATTCTCCTTCTATCCTCCTTAGTCATTGTCCAACTCTCTGATGCATAACAAGTGTTAGCAAAGACCATGGCCTGTATCAGACACACCTTAAGTCTCCAGAGAGACACCACTGCTCTTCAGTACTTTGGAGAGGTCCCTAACAGCAGACTTTCCCATCAAAACGTCTGGTGCTGAGAGTGTTGACTGTGGAGCCAAGCAAACTAAACCCACTAGAACTGAGTAAATTTTAAAGTATTAAATTTGTTTAAAAATAATAAATACACTTCTTAATGTCAAGAATGAACAAAATAAAATCTTAATGACCAATTCCAAACATCGAGGATACTCAAAGATCAAATTCTCTCTGTAGAATATTTGTCAGGTAAATGTGATACCTGATTGTACTTCCTGCAGTGAAAGTTAACTAATAATTGGTAATTTTGAAATGACATAAACAATTTTACAATAGTATATTAACTGGAATTTCCTAATCTGTCTAGCTCTTAATTCTTAGCGTATCACATCTAAAATAAGTATGTACTAAACATTTGCTTTTTTGAAATACATTTCTTTAGTTTTAGAAACAGGCAGGAAGTTAGCAGTATAGCAGTCAACCCCAGTCCAGTCATAAAACCTTGTAGTTTGGACTCTGTTTAAATGTATGCCATGTTTTGAAATGTGTCTGGTTTTGAACAAATGTCCACCGTTGTACTGAAGTAATGTACACCTTTTAGAAGATCTTTATGGCTATTTTAAATAAAAGCTTTTAAGAAGTAAAAAAAAAAGAATAATAAACACATTAAATGGTTATATGGTTGTTGTTGTTGTTGTTATGTGCCGTCGAGTCGCCTGCGACTCATAGCGGCCCTATGTACAACAGCCC